AACAGTAAGCAGTAGAAGAAAAACCTTGGAGGAACACGTACTTATCTACTACTTTACTCTGCAATTATGTAATTTATTTTTTTTTTTAGACCTCTGTTAGCAGACACACAGTTTGTTCATAACCACGTGTCGTGGTTACAAACAGTGGCCAATCTGTGCATGTTTCTATGGACATGATACACACAAGAAGAGGAATTCTCAAGTCATTCCTCAGGTCGAGCATGTACTTTCTTCTGGTATGTAAAAACACTGAATGCTGCCACAGACCCAAAATAATGCATTTACATTTAATACTGGTTTGTAGTTTTCCTAACATACAATTGGAATTGTTAAGTATTTTACTTCATGTCTCAGCTGTAACAGGCATTGAACAGAAGTATTTTTAACAAATAACTGGTACAACTGCTTTGGTATGGTTCTTGAAAAATGTCATAGTCTGTCTGCTGGCTCTGCAACAGAATAAAAAAATATCACAGTAAGTTTGGTCCCTAAACCCTCTCAGTTACTGGAAAAATTATGCTTCCCCACCACTCCCTAAAAGAGACAAGTACATAAATTCACCATACTTTCCACTTAAAGAACACATTTTTCTATTTGTTACCACACAATCCTCATGAACTACGATTTGTTGTACCAGGTAACCTCTTTTTACTACAACCCCCCGCATTATTCCAGATCTGTAGTGATTAAGAGAGGCACGAAAGACATTTCATAGCAGCAAGACGCCTGTGTGCCAGTAGAGTACTACTAATGTGAGTTTGCTCCCTAGGACAAGACTGTCTTCAGGGAAAATTAAAGAACCAAAGTTCCCGTTAACTGGAATCAAGACCAAAACCAATTAAGTGGTAAAGTGCCACAGGAACCGAAGGACTGATTGCACAGAAACTGGAAGAAAGCCGAACTGTAAGTAGTTGCATGAAGTTGCATATTCTTGTAAACTGAAATTTTTGTACTGCATAGAATTAGCAAAGAACAACAAAGTGGGAAGGAAAAAGGGAAGATTTTCCAGTCCATATTCCATCCTAGGCAGCATCACTCATGCAGAACTGTGCCAGGCAGGCGGCTAACATGTTCTTCGAAAAAAGTCTCCAGTAATGGAGTTTCAGAAACTGTCAGCCACCCTTGCAAATTCTCCCTACGTTCAATGTGAACTCCCCTTATATTTTAATAAGAAGCTACTGCTCACACTGTGAGAGTTAAGTACTTAAAAGTCAGAACACGCCTGTGCTAGATGCTTTGTATGCACAGAGTAAATGATAGCATTCTTGTTTCAAAGAGGCTATAATAACTTAAAAGCCTCATAACCGCAAAAATATGCATATTCTTCATTTTGGATTCAGACTAGATACAGGATTAATTTCAAGAGCATTCAAGTCTCTAGAGCAGCAGTATTTCATTTTATTGGTATTGTGAACTCCCCTTATATTTTAATAAGAAGCTACTGCTCACACTGTGAGAGTTAAGTACTTAAAAGTCAGAACACGCCTGTGCTAGATGCTTTGTATGCACAGAGTAAATGATAGCATTCTTGTTTCAAAGAGGCTATAATAACTTAAAGCCTCATAACCGCAAAAATATGCATATTCTTCATTTTGGATTCAGACTAGATACAGGATTAATTTCAAGAGCATTCAAGTCTCTAGAGCAGCAGTATTTCATTTTATTGGTATCTCCCAGAAAGATTCAGTGTGAAAATGAACAAGCCCAAGGAGCACGAAAGAGAGGTGCAAATACAGAGCATTAATACATAAAATGCAAAATAAAATATCAAATGTTCACATTCCCCTAAGTATATTTTGAAATAGGTTTTGAGACTAAATTCTAGTGAAGTCGGTAACATGCAACAAGCTCAGAGATACAACAGCTCAGTTTCTATGGATGAGGTTGTTTACTTTTTAAGGAGTTAATTTTCCAACTCAAGTTGCAAAGGTGTGCTTGCAAATAAATCTCAAGTAATATTTACTCTCTGGCCGACTGTAATATAACTGAAATTGCTTGTAACGTTAACAAAAACAGTGTGAAATTAACAGTATGCGGATTGTGCTTATTAGTGTAATGAACTACACAAGAGACAAACCAGCAAAGAATAATGCCAACCTACAGCTGTATTTTCAGAAAGGTGTAAAAATCATCATCAGAAATAACTCAGTGAAAGACTTAAAACATACAGGTAAGACACACAGAACATGGAAGAAACAACTCTTGCCTGCCGTCAACTAAACTTTAAAGCAAAAACATTTTTTATACAATACTGTACTTAGGGAAACAACCTGTTAAAAATGCAGTCCTACAAAAACAACTTAGAGAAATACTGTTTACTGTGTGGAAATCCAGGGGGCTTGTTGGCTTCCTACCACTGCTAAAGCTTACAAAATTATGCCTAATAACCCTAGGGATAAGTAAGGAGTTCAGTATCATATTTGTGATGGAGTAAAACTTTTTTGTAGAGGCTCAATATGTTCAATTTGCTTTGCTTCAGAAGACACTTGTTCTCTCTTCAGAAATGAAAGATATTGCTTGTGTTTAAAAGGTACAGCCTAAAAAGAATGCATGATTTTCACAGGACACCCAATTTTTTCCTCAATTCTTTTGTTCCTTAATTCTACCATCCACCACCAGACACACCACAAAAAAAAGCAACTAAAAAAAGACCCACCAAAAGGCAAAAGCCTGAGAATTTTCTTTACAGACCATAAATGGGTGTTACATTATCAAAGGACCGACCTTTTCAAAACCAGAGCCTAAAACAGGAGTTCAGAGTCCACCTGACCTGATGAGACTTTCTGCCACTTCAGTCTTTAAAAGGTTCAGTTGAGAGGAATGCTGAGTTTACATATATCCGACTTCCAGACAGGCTCAAAATTCGACCTAGCATCTTCTTTTTGCAAAACTAAAACTTTCTTAGTACTGTATTTTGTTTTCCAGCCTACTGTGTAAAATGTGATCAAGGCCAGGGACAAGAACGTACCTTGTTCAAAGCTAATCAGAAACATCGAGAAGTCAACTGTGTGTTTCAGTACATCCTGAGCTCTACCACATACGCATTTCCATGCATCCTGATGCATTCCTTCCCCCGACCGCCGCCTTCCCTAGACGTTGGAGGTCAAAGACAGCTCTGGTATGGCCACTAAATGCCCATCCCAAACAGAAAGTTAAGTAAGTTGTGAGATACTGCAGTAAGCCTGACCTGCCGCCTCAAGCAACGGAGGCGCTATCAAAATAAACTCTGCAAGCTTCTACCACACTTTCGGATGGGGATGTGGCTGAAGATGGACTTAACTAAGGTGAACTCCAGGCGAGATGTTTCCCCATCAGTTATTCTACAGGGCAAAGGGGGGGAAAAAAAAAAAAAAAAGAGCTAGAAATGTCACTTCTTTTTCACTGGGAGAAGGAAGAATAAAAAAGCCTGAGAGAGCCCCACGACCGGTTAAGAGGGGGAGGCACGAAGCGGCACGGGGCCACCGAGGGCGGCGCTGGGCCTGGCGAAGGCCCGGGGGCTCGGCCCG